GCTCCAGTGGGGGAGGGAATGCAATGGAAGGGTGCCATTTCAGAGGCGGATATAAAAATGAATAAGATTGTTGGGATGTTCTGTGTGAAATGATGTTCTGTGTGAAATACACACAAAAAATCAATATATACATATAATATGAAAATAGAAGGGGAATTATGAAAAGTGAGGAAGAACTCTAAAGGAAGAACAGGAAAGGAGGGGAAAGGCAAAATATCTCAAATCTATCTATTGATGGATCCAGCCAGCCAGCCACTACCTACCCACCTACATATGGCATGAAAGCAGAGGGGGGCTACTGCAGTGGAGGAAGATAAGGGATAGTGTGGGGCAAATATGCACAAGTCACTACTGAATTCTACTGATTCACTACTGAATTCTACTAAATATTTCAACTGTACCCATTCTTCACAGATTCTTCCAAAAACACAGAGGAAAAAGGAACATTTCTCAATTCATTTTATAAAGCCATTATTCCAACACTAAAACAGTAACCACAGACCAGTGTCTTTTATGAATATGAACATAAAAATCTTCAACAAAATCCTAGGAAACCAAATCTGTCTGTCTAGATATTTAAGAATTGTATCATATAAATGATATATACATTAAGTATTCAGTCAATATCTACAAAAGTCTCATAGTGGAGATCATACTTAGGGGTAAACCACTGAAAACCGAATCCCTACAGGATCAGAAGTAACACAAGGATGCCTGTTCTCACTTGTGTTTAGCATTTCGCTAGCTTCTACAAAAGCAAAGAGGGATGAAAACAAGCAGCACTCACACGAAAAACAAAGAAACAGGCTGGAGACATGGTTCAGCTGTTAAGCACTGGCTGTGGGTTCAATGCCTAGCACGCACATGGTGGCTAACATCCTGTTCCAGGGATTTGACACCCTCTTCTGACCTCTGTGGGCACTGCATGACATGGGTACACTTACACACATGCAGGTAATACATTCATATACAAAAAATACCCCCCCCAACAAAGAAACCAATCTGTCTTCTCAGATATCTGATATAAAAAAATCTTGAAGATTTATAATTAGCACTAATAAAAGAAAGCAGTAAATTGAAATTTAAAGTTCAACAGACCAATATCAATTGTATTTCTATATGTACTTGCACTATACAATCTAAAGCTGAAGTTATGCAAACAACTTCATGCACAATAATCTAAGAATAATAAATACTTACAAATAAATTTAAGGGGCTTGAGATACGGCTCAGGGGCTAAGAGTGCTGGCTGCTCTTGCAGAGGACACGGGTTCAAATCCCAGCACCCACATGGTGGCTAACAACTTTAACTCCAGTTCCAGGGGAATCCAATGCCTTCTTCTGACCTTTGCAGGCATTGCATGATACAGGTGCACTAACACACAAGCAGGCAATACACTCATGCACATAAAAAAATTTAAAAAGAATAAATTTAACAAAAGAAATGCAAAGACTATTTTTGAAAACTACAATATTTTGTTTGAAGAACCTGACAGACTGATTTCAAAATTTATATGGAATTTCAAGGGTTCAATATAATCTAAATAATTTTGAAAAAGAGTAGAAGAATTTACAAATCAATTATAAAACTTACTATCAAGCAATGATAATTAGGATAATTAAGACTAGCAAAAGGACAGAGACACAGATCACAGGAAGAAAAGTCTGTGTTTCCCCACAAAAGTACCAAGACAATTCATTAAAGAGGGGAATGAACAGCTCTTTCAAGAAATGGTGTTGAGACCCTCAAACAATACAGGCCACTGCCCCTGTTCTTGGTTACCTACCAGAAATGGATGGTAAGGCCCTATTTCTGAAGACACTACACACATGATCTGTAGAACAAACAAGAAGAAATCAAGCTGGTGCTGACTTCAAAGCCTCATGTCTACTGGCTAGTGTTCACAGTGCTGGCAGGTGCTATGCAAGCTCCCAGAAGGAAAAAACCATCATCATCCTTACCCAGCTGTGAATTTCATAAAATACAACAACAACTGGCCTGGCAAGATATGCTCACCAGTTGCAATAGTGGCACAAAAATTATGGGAGTAGCCAACTACTCTGTAATTGATTTAAGGTCTGCTTGTTAGGCTGGAGCCCATACCTGACACTGATATCAAGTTTAGGAATCTGAGGCTAAACTGGTCATAGGACATAGGGAAGAACCTAATACTAGTTTTCTACTAAACAGTTACCATATTAAACTGACTCTTATGACCTATTGCTGTACCTATAGATTAGTACATCTCTCAACTCTCACCAGAGAAGTTTGCTTATGCAACAGGTGCTGATTAACACAGAAACCTCTACTGGCCAATATGCAGAGAACAAGAGGCTTCAGAGCACTTATCCCTGAATAGGACAACCTATATCTAACTTCTGCCCCCCACCCCCGCCCCAAGGCTCAGAGATCAGTGCAGAAGAGAGGGTAGAAAGACTAAGAGCCAGAGGTGGTGGATGACCACAAAGAAACAGTTTTCCAGATACCTGTGGTAAATTACTCCTATAAATTCACAGTAATGGTGACAGCATGCACAAGTCCCATGCAAGCTAAAATGGAAAAAAATCCCAGCATAGGCATGAGGAATGTAAGAGCTCCAAGCTAACCTAAGTAAATTGTGTCAACAGACGCAGGCTCGGAGGACAGAAGACAGTCTCTTTAAAGCATGGGATTATTGGTAGATTAATCAGGCTCCAGTAGATGGACCCATACTGAAGGACATTTGGTAACACAAATTTTATATCTATATATTACATTAAATTGGGGTGACAAAAGGGGAGGTTTGGATAGGGGAAGGGACCTAAATATCATCAAATTATATTATGTGAAAATCACAAAAATTCGATCTTTAAAAAAAGAAAACAAAAAACCCCAAATGTATGCATCTTTGAGAGGAGTCCTGTCATTTGACAAAAATAGCATTTTTGGAGACTTACAGGCAGAGTTAACATTCAAGAACAAGTTGAATTTAAATCTTGTTGCTTTATATTCTTTAAAACTGCCACTATATTGTTTTCAAGTTTAATAATTTTTAGCAGCCATCTCTTTACTATGCCAAATTTAAATTTTGCATTTATTAAAAAAATGTGTTGAAACGATGGGATAGCCATACATAAAAATGAAGCAAAAATGGGTAAACAACCTAGTTTCAAGAACTAAAACTTTAAAAGTCCTAATATAAGGCAAAATATTTGTAACGTTGTACTTAAAGACTTTTTAGAAAAAACACCAAAAGCATAAATAATAAATAAAAGAAAGAAAAAACTTGGACTTTAATACCATTAAAAACTGTTGTGCTTTAAAAAACATCAAAATAGGAAAAAAATGAAAAATCATGCATCTTACAAAACACTGATAAAGAATACACAAAGAATTTTTCTAATTCCATAATATGAAAAAATGTTACATAAGAAGCAAGAATCTGAATAGGCATCTTTGTATTAAAGGCGTACAAATGGCTAACAAATCACAAGATTCTCAGAAGTGAGCCAGTCAGATGGCTCAGCGGGTAAAGATGTTTGCTGCCAAGCCTGACGACCTGAGTTCAACCCACATAGAAGAAGAGAACCAACTCCCATGGGCTGTCCTCCGATCTCCACATGCACCATCACTCACATACATACACACACACACACACACACACACACACACACACACACACAGACACATTGATGTGTTGCAAAATTTGAAGTTGTTCTTTTAGAATCCACAAATCAGTCAGATCAGAGGCAAACCTGGGGGTTTTGAGTCAAATTTTTGTTCATTTGTTTCTAATTTATTAATTTTTAAAAAAGATTATCAGTATCAGTTATCCAAGTCCCTCTGAGAAGCCACTGGGTCCTCACTAGGATAAGAAAATCAGAGAGAATAATACTTGTTGGGAAGAAAGGAAAAGAATCACAACTCTCATACATTCTGGTGAGAATGAAAAATGTTAGAGTTGAGCAGGGTGTGGTGGCATAAGCCATTAATCCTAGCTCTGGAGGCAGAGGGAGAGGCAGGGGCAGGGGCAGGGGCAGAGGTGGAAGCAGAGTCTAGGATGGTCTACATAGTGAGTTCCAGGCCAGCTTGGGGCTACATAGTAAGACCTGTTTCAAGAAGTTTTAAAAAAAAGAAAGAAAAAAGAAGAATGGTAGCCACTTTAGAAACTGCAGTTCTAAAACAATTAAACCTAAGAAATTATGAATCAATAAAAAAAGACCAAAAAATGGTTTAGCACAATTACCATGTCACCTAGCAATTCTATTCTTAGGTACACATCCAAGGCAAATAAAATATAAGTTCACAGAAAAATATGCATACAATTAATACTATCTATAATAGGAAAAATGTGAGAGCAATTCAGATTTCAAGTGACAACTGAATAGGTACAGTAAAACACGATCACATACTGAAATATTACTTGATCGAAAAATAAATGAAGAAATGAAGTGAAATGAAGAAATGAAGTGTTGATTCAAGTTACAACTCATGTTAGTGTTTCATGTTAAAATGCTACGTAACAGAAGAATAGAGAAGTTGGAGGAGAAGATGGGGAGGATAGATATGATCATATTTCATTGTATACATGCATGGAATTCTCAAAAATAAAAAAATTAAAAAACACGTTAAGTGAATTAAGTTCTTAAAAATACCACACAGTGTATGTTTTTGTTTCCATTTTGTTTTTTTTAAATCAAATGTTCAGAATATAAAAACTTATGTAGAGAAAAAGTGTATCAGTGACTTCACAGAACTAGGGCATTTCTTTTAGGAGTGATGAAAAGGTTCTGGAATTAGATGGTTATGGTGCTTGTGTAACTTTGGTAATATACTAAAAGTTGCCGAATTACACATCTTAAAGAGGTGACATGTGTGGCCACGTAAACTACATCTTAATAAACTGCATTTAAAAAGGTAAAACAGAATGTTCACTTTAGCCTGAATCCACAGGTTTGATACTTTCTTAGACCTTCTTTTTTATAACCCTTCCCATCACATGCTTTTCTGCAAGTCTTACCTCTGTTTTCTTAGTCACCTCAGCTTTTGTCACAAGGTCTGCTAGAGCATAGACAAATCCCAGATCTAACCTGAGATCCATTTCTTGAATCAACACTTTGAAATACCTATATTAAAAGCAGGAAACATAATGAAATTATCTTGTAAATACCCCAAAGAAATTAGATGACAATAAAGTATTAGATAAATATTAGAACTCGGAAACTTAGAACTTCATAAGCAAATGGTAGAATACATAGTGGTAATGTTTATAACAGCAACAAACTCCAACTATGAAAATGTCTATGGAGAGGACATTGAAGTAAACTATATCAAACAGTAATGGACAAACTATTAAATAGCAACAATAATGAATAAGCCATGGCTACGTGTAGTAAAATTATATTTGAACGAAAATTTTTAATTAAAAAAGTCCCATAAGTCTTTTTGAGTTTGAGTAACTTTTAGAAGGTTAGAAAATAATAAAAACCCAAACCCATAATGTTTAGGTATACATATAGAACATTATATATTTTAATTTTTAGCTGGGATGGGAGGAGGATGTGCCACAGAATATGTGTGGAAGTCAGAGGTCAGACGGTTTTCTCCTTCCACTTCTATGTGGGTTCCAGGGACTGAACTCAGTGTGCTAGATTTGTGCAGCAAGTGACTTAACCCCCTGAGCCACCTACCTCACCAGTCCCATAACACTGTGTGTGTGTGCACGTGTGTATTTTTAGTTTTTTACTGAATTTTTGTGAATTTTATACAATATATTTTGATGATATTTATACCCTGTCCTCTGTCTGCACCCCTCCTTACTCTCCCTCATCCAGTTTTTTGTATTTGTGCACGTGCATGTGTGCATGCATGCATGTTTGTGTATACATATAGAGTCAGGGTTTAGGCTAATCCACTGGGGCCTGGTCAACCTATCAAGAGTCGTACCCTTAAATGAGATTAACTCTTCCCCTCTCAGCAGCCATTGGTTTCCAACAGCTCCTCAGGTAGGGTTGGGATTTTTACCCACTTCCCCACATGTATGCTGGAATTTTACCTGGTTTGAGTTTATGCAGAATTCTATAAAATTATATTTTTTAAAGCAAGGAAGTGAATACAGTTTATCTCAGTGATTATGAGGGAGTAAGACAGGAGGAACCACTTAGATCGATACTGTGGTTCACAGTCTGTTTCTCCAAATGCGTGAGGTAGAAGTGAATATACAAATCTTATTTTTGTCACTGTTTCTAAAACAACATATGGTCAATGTAGATAACTTAAAATAAAAAACAAATACACATTAAAAGACAACAATAAGGTATCCAAGATCTAGAAACAACTATTGTAAGCATTTAGGTATGTTATATTCGGTCTTCCAACTTTCTAAGATTATAAAATACTTAATAGATCAAATTTTATTAAGTTAAAAAATTTTAAGTTTATGTTCCTACATATGCTTAAATCTCCGACTTAGGCAAAATTTATTTTTAATGAGTAAAAACAATTAATATATTTAGATAAAAAATTATATGAACACACAAGAAATCTATGAAGACACTTACTTAATACGTGATATTTGGGAATGTCCTGCAGACCTCATGACAATACTGACATCTGTAAAAGGCTTTGGTGCTGTAAAGATTTACATGTGATTACTCTCATGATATTTTAGGCCAAAGGATAAGCATTTCTTCTAATTTAATATGAATTACAACGGAAGACTACATCGTTTAATAAATCAGAAGTATCAGTTAAAATGAAAAGACATTTGCAAGGTCTTTTACAGTGCAATTTCAGACTCCAAGACTTTCTAAATATATGCAGTCACTCTAAGGATAACTAATTACAAAAACTAATGGCTTTCAACTAGAAGTATGCATTTGAATTATCAGTACATTGTGAAAACAGATTCTGGAGACTTATACCAGCTCTCTAAGTAGAAGAGCTTAAGCATGTAGAATGGTTAGAAAACTTGGAAGGGAATTACGAAGAGAATCTCCCAGGCAGTTTGGAGTCCAAGGTATGGAATCTGCAATGGAAAGCTAAAGAGAAAGGAAAGTACAGCAGGAGAGTAGGGAGCAGAGAGATGTGGGAGGAGGACAGGCAAGGCAGAAGAGAGAAGAAGGTGAAGAAAAGATGGAAGGAGGCGTGCCAGATCTTCTTGCATGAAGAACACAGCACCATTTCACCATGAGAAAACATGGTATCTGGGGGTTGGAGAGACAGCTCAGTCATTAAAGCACTTGCTGTTTTTCTTGAGGACCTGGGTTTGGTTCCCAGCTCCAACATTAAGTAGTTTACAACCACCTATAATTCGAGTTTCGGTGGATCCAATGCCACCTTCTGTTCTCTGCAAGCAATTCATGCATGTGTTGCACATACAGACACAAACACACAAAATAATCTTAAAAATAAACATTAAATCTGAATTTCCTAATTGTGTATTCCAAGTTTCTAGTATTTTTAATATTACAAATATATTATAAATTATTTACATATTCATAATATAGTTTTAAAATACAAACTTCTAAAAATTCAAATAAATGTATTTCTGACTAATCTCTTCCTCAGCATTCATGTGAAGTCTTGCATAAGTAGAACAATTCCTGGTTCTTTAAACAGCATAATTTTCCAATGATCTTTAAAAAAAGGGAATATTTTTACAGCAAACATACCAAATAATTGTTTCCATCACAAACTAAACTACAAACCTGAGTCCATGGTGACAGACTTTGGAGGTTTAATAGGATAAAACACGTAAGGGAAAATAGCGCCATTAATCTGATTTTGGATCTAAGGAGACAAAATGTAAGTCAGTACACAGTATAATTACGCAAAATGACTAGAATAATAGAATTTAAGAAGTACAGAGAATCAAAAAGGGTATTTCAACATTGTAACTAAATACAAAGGAAAGATTCAGTATGTCCCTTAAATTCTTCCAATTAAATTCTTTTCCTCTTTTCCTTTCTTCAACTCCTCCCCCTCTCTCCTCCCCTGCCTCCCCCATTTCCTTCATTCTTTCCTCATTCTTCAATCCTTTCCGTCTTTTCAGAGATAGGAATCGCACTCTGTAGGTCGGGCTGGCCTTGAGCTTCTCAAGTGCTGGAATTGCAGATGTGCCGCTGCACCTGGCTTCTTTCTCAGGTTTCTCAATGTGCTTCATCCTCTCTGACTTCCCTCTTTCTTCTTTGGCTTTGTACTTGATAAAACAGACCAGGAGGATGTATCTGGTTTCTTGTTATGTTTTGCCTACATTTCCAGAAACTTACCTGTATTCTATAAATTTGAATTCTAAATGATGATTGATGTGCAGACGTGTTATATTCTACTTTTAATGCTGGAAGGTAATTTCTTCGTACAGGTATTACATGTGGTTGCAGAATTTTCATGTCATTACCACTAGGTGTTAAGCAAACCTAGAAAATATGTGCCCCCGCCCCCAAAAAATTCGTGAGAAGTTTCTTTTTCTAATACTGATTAACATTAGAAATTTATATGAAAATATTTTTAAAATGTTATTTTTAAAAGTAGTCTACACAGGATAGTGGGGAACAGAAATTAATAAGAAAATATAATGATATATACTTATGGAAATGCCAAAATGAAGCTCATTGTTTTGTATGCTAACTTAAACAATAAATTAAAACTGAGCATAGTCCCAGCATTCTGGACACAGAGGCAGGAGGAATGCCATGTTCAAGAACAGGCTGGTCTATATAGTGAGGTCCAGGCCAATTAGGGCTATGAAACACCAACCAAACAGAAAGTCTTCTAAACATCTGTACAGATGGCTCAGTAGTTAAGTGTACTTGCTACTCTTGCAGAGGACCTGGGTTCAATTCCCAGCACCTATATGGCAGGTCACAACTGTCTGTAACTCATTCTAAGGAATCTGATACCCTTCTATGACCTTCATACATGGCACTGCATACATGTGGTGCAAAAGACACCTATACACATAATAAATCTTTAACCAAGTAATAAAAAAGAGATTGGAAATCTTATAATGGTATCCATAAAATTTGCATAAATATTCACATAAAGGTTATAGCTTGGTTGTGTTACTTTTTATAGTATTAAAATTGATTACAATAAAAATAATGTTTTAAGAGAAAATAATTTTAAAATAAAAATAAATCTTGGCTTCTTGTTACTTTAAAGAATAATTAGCATCCATTATCTCGAGAAATTTCAATTTCTTACAATAATCATCCTTTTGAAGCAATTCATATGAAATATGTATATTAGCACTAAGTATGTTCAATTTATTTTGTAAGGAAGTCAGGTTCTTCTTAAAATTTAGTAGTAATTCAAACTATACTGCCAAAATTAAAATTTTACATCAATATTGTAAAAATTTACCGGAATGTTATTGTCCAACTCGATAACCTTATCTTCTGAAGGCGAGGACTCCGTGTACTCCTTAAATTCTCTCTCTAACTTCTCAGTGTGTTTTACACTCATTGGCTTCCACCTTGCCTTTTTCTTGGGTTTTGTCTCCCAAACCACATCAGAACTTATACATGAAATCAAAAATCATAGTATTAACTTAGAATTATTTAAAAGTTATAGAACCTTCACTGAAGTTTTTCAACAGCCTCAAGTTAGTAAGACACTACATTTCAAATTTAAAGACACGAATTTACTCCATTAAAACTTATTCAGTTTTTATCTGGCTGTATCTAGGTTGCAGAAAAATACCAGTGACCATCCATGCCATTCTTCATTTTTAGCTAGGGAGGGCTCGATAGTAAGCAGCAAATATGCATAAACCAATCTGAATACCTAGGAGAGGAAAATGCTTCAGAAACAAAATGCAGATAGTCTATAGGGGTCTAGAGGCTTAAATACACAAAGTGGTAGAAACTACAGTATTAAAGTGAATGGTCACCTGTCCTCACTGAGGTGAAATTTCTGCAACCCTAAACGAGGTGAGTTATTCAGCAGATAAGAAGGGAAAGAACATTTCAGATAAGAGATCATCTTTAGCAATGACCTCTAGCAGTAAGCACAACTGTGGTGTATGAAGAACAAGGACGCTGGCATGACAGGAACACATAAAAGCAGAGATAATATAAGCCAGTGAAAGACCAAATAACGTAAAGCCTTGTAGGACATGGCACAGACTCCGAGTTTTACTTTTTAATATCCAAAACTTAATGCATCTAACCTTGTAATGCCTATATAGGCTACTTCTTGCTTTGTATAATTATTGACAAGTGAGATGCCAACATCTTGTAATGCCAACACAATTTCTTGTTCTGCCAACTCTGCTTTCTCACTTTCGTATGTTACTTTAAATACCCTTGGATCTTCAGTGAATAAAATAATACGTTGCAAGCCTTCAAAGAATGAAACTAAATAAACGGTTTTTTTCCCCAGACTTATGGGTGTCATCATATCCTAAAAGAAAACCACAAACATAAGTCAACAAACATAAGCCAATATTCCACATTTATAAGACAAGAATTTTAACAGCACTTCATAAAGCTGGGGTAGCAAATTAAATGAATATGTGCATAGCACTCAGAGACAGAATCATCACTGGTGTTAGCTATTTCAGAGAACTGATGACAATCAACTGAATTAATATCTGTACAATACTTGTAAGTTTTCCTCACTAAAATTATTGCATGTCAGTGACTACATTGCTCTAAAGTTATTAATAAAAAAGTCAATTGTTTAAGTACTTTCAGATCTTAATAAAATCTACTTAGTCTTTCATTGTAAGCTAATTGACAACAGAAAGGATTATTTGTTTCCACTTCATTCTAAGTTTATGATAATATAGTATGTATTAAAAGTTGTGGAAACCAGAAATTTACATTTCCTTATGTAGCAGAATGAGTAAAGTGAGGAATATCTGATATCTTAGTTGCAGGCCTGATAAAGCATTAATGTATCAAGGTGTATAGTAACAACCATAATCACAGGACTTAGGAGGCCGAGGTAGTGATTGCCATGAGCTCAGAACAGCCTGGGCTAAATCATGAATTCCAGAATGGCCTGGGCTACAGAAGGAATGCTTGTCTCAAAAAATTAAGATAAACAAAACATACACCAAAAAATAAAGCACCAAAGTTCTCCAAAGGGTTAATTATATAGGAAGCTCCTATGTAAACCTTGTGTTGGGAGTCAGTGAGATGGCTCACTTGGCAGGTACAAACACTTACTACCAAGCCTAATGGCCTGACCTCAATCTCAGGGACTCACATGGTGGATGGAAGAAGAGAATCAACTCTCAGTTAATCTGTGACCTCCATATAGTCACACTATGACATGCCTGTACCCATGTGCACACACACATATACACATCATACACATACATATGATAATAAATAAAATTAAAAATAAATATTGTGTTGATATCAGGGTCCTGAGATTCAGTGATAAGACAAATATAACAAATTTTAATAATTAACAGTCATAAATTCTAGTTAATATTTTGGTTAACAGAAATTTTACTATTTAGTACCCTTTACGTTGTAATTCACAAAAATTAGTTAAATCTAGGAATAATAGTATTACCTATAAAACCTTCTAAAATAAAATATACAGCACTTAAAGTACATTGAGAATTAAGAAAACTTTTTCCAAATAATTCTGAATCTTTAATATAGTGAACTTCAGACTTATCTTTATAAACTTAAAAAAAAACAATATGGTCTAACTATGTAAAGTAATAAAACATCATATAAGATTATTTATATTGAAATACAGTATTTTCCTGAATATAATTATCAAGATTTTCTAAAAGTTGTTAGCCTAATTATATGCAATTCTCTTAAAAAAAAATCAAACAAACTAATAAAGCCCTACATCAGAATATTCAACGTCAACACTGGAAGACAATGGGAGATGTAGTGAGTAAGGGAAGATGAAATAACTCTGAATGCAGAATTTACTTGGCAGAAATACCTTCCAATGAGGAATAGTATAGAAAGTAAAGATGCCATCAGAGGGCTGGACGGACGGCTCTGCAGTTAGAGCTTGAGCTGCTCTTGCAGAGGAACCATGCTGGGCGGCTCACAGCGACCTGCAACTTCAGCTCTTCTGTGCACTCCTGTGCACATGCCCCCCACCCACACATAATTAAAAATAAAATAGAATCTTCTTTTTAAAGATGTTTATACACCCCCTGCAACGTCCACCATCAACAGACTGACTCCAAGAAACTACTACAGATGGAACTAACTAGTGGCAAAAACAATGATCCAAGATAGAGTTCTGAAGTAAAAGTGAAATCTTATGAAAATAAAATAGCATCTATGTCTGAAAAGGTAATTTTAAAACTTCAGTGAACTCATACACAATAGCAAAATATTTAAAGCAGTTCATTTAGATCAGAAATAAGGCAAAAAAAAAATCTGCAATGATCCTTTTTATTCAACAATATATAAAAACTCTACCCAATCAAATAAGAAAAATTAAAGGAATAAAAGAGGCAGAGCTTGTTATTTGTATCTGCTACAACTGTTTACATAGGATCTGAAAAATAAATTATTAATAATAATGATAAAAATTCAGTGATTTTTAAAAAAAAATATTGTGAATTTCTAGTTTGGCAACTGATGACTCTTGTCTCTATCATTGCATATTTAGAGACAGAAAAGTTACAAAATCAGTAAGAATTAATGAGGCTAAAATCTGAGAAAGAACTTTGAGAGCTTTGAAGCGGCTTCCTCTAAAAGCTGTCAATTCTAAAAGTAGAGACATATTAAAAGGCTAACAAAGCTAGATGAAGATCAGGCAGTCTCATGGGAAAAGGAAATCAACAACTTGAATTCAGGACATGCTAAAGAGAGTGACTGAAAATCTTAGGTTTTTTAAGTCAAGTCCCAAGAAGACTACCTTCTTAGGTACCAGACTGAACAGGAATTAACCCTGTCCTCAAGGACTAAAGATCAGATTCAAATCATCTCAATTCTTAGGCAGATTTAGGTAATGATTCTAGCTTAGTTACCGGCCCAAAGCAAAAACATATGTTCATAAAAGAAAAGGAAACATCATACAGTGCCTCAAACAAACTGTAAGAAGTTCATGTACTACATACATGTAGCAGAGTCAACAATGAGTGTACATCAATTAAAAGGGCCGGGCGTGGTGGTGCACGCCTTTAATCCCAGCACTTGGGAGGCAGAGGCAGAGGCAGGTGGATCTTTGTGAGTTCGAGGCCAGGGTAGTCTACATAGTGAGTTCCAGGGCAGCAGGGGCTACAGGGAGACCCTGTCTCAAAAAGAGAGAGGAAAAAAATAAAAAAAAAAAAAAAAGAAAAAGGAAAAAAAAAGAAAAGTAAGAAGCTATAAAAATATCAGATACTGAAATTGTTGTATATGTTTTAAAGTAGCCAGAATTAATATTCAAAGTAGAAAGTTGGAGAACAAAATTTACAGACTAGGAATCCTAGAACTGGTAATTTTCATAACTGAAATGAATATCAATGGGTGAATTTAAGGTAAGATTAGCCACAGCAAGGAAAACAGTGGAAACTAGTTTAGAAGAAAACACGTCTACTGAAAGATTAAAAGTCTAAAGTAGTATTTTAAAACCAAGAAGGTCTAGGTGAAGTAACACAGACTCAGAAAATCAAAGGACATACGCTCTCCCTCATTTGTGGATCCTAGCACCAAATCCTTATAAGTGAGTGCATAACCTGATGTAGCTGCAGGAACCAGGAATATGGAAGAGAACCAGGAAGGTAAAGGGAAAGAAGGAACCCAAGAATAGTATGAGAAAGATGTTACTAAGGGAAAAATAAAATATAAAAAGAGGGTAGTTCAAAGGAAAGGAGGTAAGGAGGGCTATACAGAGAACTATGGGACTAAAGGGGAAAAAAAAATTCAAAAGTTTAAAAAAAGAAGAAGAAAAAAAAAAAAAAAAAAAAAAGCCTTAAGCACAGAAGGAACTCTCTGGCCTCTGCCTGGGGTAGGGTCTGAAAACTGAGCAGCCAGCCTGAGAGCACCTGATCTGGCCTCTACCAGTATAGGGACTGAGACCTCAGCAGACCACTTGAGAATGCCTGGATCCAGCCTCCACATGGTGGTGAGCTTCCCCAAATCTTCCCCAAATTGTGCCATACCCACCCCCTAACTGGGATTACATGAGGCCCCTCCCAGGGCCTCAGGGGTATATGTACACTACTATAGGGCTGAGAACTCAGCAGACAGCCTGAGAGTGCCAAAATCAGGCCTACCCCCTTAGAGAGCTTCCCAAATTGTGCTCTTGCTAAGTAGGGGTCCAAACCCCGAGTGTGCCAAAAATTCCCTCCAAAATAAAATCTGAGAAAACCTGAAACCTAGACCAACCAGCTTTACATACCCAATAAGAAAACAACCGAGGCACACCAATAACACAAACAGTAAGACAAGAGAAGGAAGTTAAAAGGAGCACTAATTGGAAAAGAAGAGGTCAAATTATCCCTTTTTGCAGACGATATGACACTATCTACACCTAAGAGATCCCCAAAATTCCACCAGAAAACTCCTAGAACCGATCAACACTTTCAGTAAAGTAGCAGGTTACAAAATTAATCTACAAAAAGCAGTAACCTTTCTATGTACCAATAACAAGCTATTGGAGAAAGAGTACAGGGAAATCTTCCCATTCACAATAGCCATCAAAAACAAACAAACAAACAAACAAACAAACAAACAAACAAACCTTGGAATAAACCTGACCAAAGATATCAAAGACCTCTACAATGAAAATTTTAAATCTTTAAAGAAAGAGATTGAGGAAGACACCAGAAGATGGAAGGGCCTCCCTCCCATGCTCATGGATTGGAAAAAGACCATACTACCAAAAACAATATATAGATTCAATGCAATCCCAAATCAAAATCCCCATGACATACCTTCACAGAATTAGGAAAAAAATTCTTAAATTTGTATGGAAGCATGAAAGACCTCAGATAGCCAAAGCAACCCTGAGCACAAAGAACAACGCTGCTGGGGTTACTCTACCAGATTTTAAAGTATACTACAAAGCCATAGTCATAAAAACAGCATAGTACTGGCACAAAAATAGACATATAGATAAATGAACATCATTGAAGACCCAACCCTGAGTACACACCATTTCAGCCACCTGGTATTTGACAAGGGTGCTAAGAACACTCAATGGAGGAAAGACAGCATCTTCAAAAAAAAGTGCTGGCAAAACTGGATCTCCACGTGTAGAAGAATGAAGCTAGATCCTTATCTTTCACTTTGCACAAAAGTCAACTCCAAACGGATCAAACATCTCAATGTGAAACCTGAAACCCTGAAACTATTAGAAGAAAACACTGGCAGTAACCTGTAAGATAGAGGTGTAGGAAAGGATTTTCTAAATCAGACACCAGTTGCTCAGGAATTAAGGTGAGCAATGAACAAGTGAGACCTCATTAAACTAAAAAGCTTCTGTACAGCAAAAGAAACAATCAAGAAAGTGAAGAGAAAACCGACAGAATGTGAAAAAAATCTTCACCAGTGACACATCTGACAAAGGTTTAACATACAGAATATATAAAGAACTCAAAAAACAAAGAAGTGAGAAACCAAACGACCCAATTAAAAGACGGGCTAAACATCTGAACAGAGAGCTCTCAAAGGAAGAAATAAAGATGGCTGAGAAAAAAACGCACTCAACATTGTTAGTAATTAGGGAAATGCAAATTAAAACCACCTTTTCACCTTACCGCAATCAGACTGACTAAGATCAAGAGAACAAATGATACAAAATGTTTGCGAGGATGTGGAGAAAGGGGGAACACTCATTCACTGCTGGTGGGATTGCAAACTCGTGCGACCTCTATGGAAAGCAGTGTGGAGAACTCTTAAAAAACTTGTACAATTTTGTTGCTGTTCTTTTCACAACAGCTAAGAGATGGATGCAACCTAAGTGCCCCTCAACTGACAAGTGGTTAATGAAAATGTGGCACACACACAATGGAGCTGTACTCAGCAGTAAAGAAACATGAAATAATGAAATCTGCAGATAAATGAATGGATCTAGAAACTGTTATACTAAGAGAAGTAACACTCAGACTCAAGAAAACAAAATACATATGTTCTCCCTCATTTACGGATCCTAGTACCAATCCTTACAATAAATGGAATCCCACTGAAATGGGCCAACAGCCCATGGAACACAGATGATGCAGAGACCTCAAAGTTCCCTGCCTTGCCACAATGGGAGGAAGATCATCTCACACTTACCACCTCCTCCAAGGCTCAGGGACTTCTGCAGAAGAGGTTGGTGGCAGAAGGAATGTAAGAGCCGGAGGAAGGGGTGGCGTGTTAACTGGAAGTGTCCTCTGACCACTATGCCAGCAAGTTACAGTCATACCTCCTTTCCACACTTGTCAAGGAGTCAAGGGGGGAGTCAGAGAGAGCCCTCTCACCCAATCAGTCGACCTTAGCTGCATGTGGCAGTGGGGGGTTGGATGGGGGTGGGGCTAAGGATTTATAAGCCGAGAATGCCATGAGGCACTCCTCTAGACACAGTGTGGCTGTCAGGAAGTCAGAGGATATATATTTGAGTGTGGTTTGTCCAGCACAGCTGTAAACTGGGGGGGGGGGGGCACCCACTCCTCTGTAAATAAACCCCGACCCTCTGCTCTGTTAGCAAGCCCAATAAACTCATTAGGATTTTCCAAGAAAAAAAGAGCTAATGGAAACCTTCAATATCCCATCAAAGTTGACCCCATGTTGGCAAATCCTTTGGTCTTTGATTTCTTATTCTTTCTGGGACTGGGTCTCCCCATAGCTCCAGCTGGCCTGGACCTCACTGTGTGGACCAGTCTCGCCTTGAGTTCACAGAGATCTGCTTGGCTCTGCCTCCTCAGTACTGGGATTGAAGATGTGTACCACCATACCCAGCTTTGGTCTTTGATTTCTTATAAAAAAAGAATATTTGTGTTTCATGTGATTCTTCCTTGGTGCCTAAAGGAATTTAATTTACTAAATTTGTAATGGAGCCAGAATTTAATCAATATTTAATTAAACAGTGAATGAACATTAAAAAAAACAGGAAGGTCATAAAGAAAATAGTTAAAAGATCTAACATTTATGAGACTGTGGCATTCTAAAGGACAGGACAAAATATGGGTATAAACCAGATCTGAAGACATAATGACAGAAATGTCTGGGCAACACAAAAAACTTCAAATCACTGCTTCAAGAAGCAAACAAATCAAGAAAATAAACACAGAGAACATTATGCTTTACAACACTAAAGTTCTGGAAAGTGAAAACAAGAACCCAAGAAGACAGAGAGAAACAAGGGGCAACTCTGAAATTTGATTCAGCACAAACAGCAGCCCCCACATGGAAAATGAGGAATTTTTAGACAAAGCTTACAGAGAATTTGTCTGCTATACTTAGACTAAAAAAAAAAAAAAGTAATAATAAAAGAAAAAATAGTAAATAGCAATAAAATAGTAAAAAATAGTACAAAATAGTAATAATAAAAGAAATAAGTAATAAAAGAAAGTAAAAAGTAATAAAAGAAAATAAGACAGATGAAAAGATGCGGCAAAGACGAAAAACAGTAAGAAAACCAAAATAGGTGGGTAAGTTGAAACAGAGTATGAATTACAGAACAAATGATCTTTCTTAATGCCTATTAAGAAATAAAACATACAACAACAGTATTTAAGATGGACAGAGTAAATGAAGTAAGAAATTAGAAGTTACGTTACTGGGAAAATGTCTGAGAAGTCGTGTACAGCAGGTTTTAGGACAGCAGAAGGCACACTATTTTGAGAACCTTCTGTTCAGGTTTTATGCCCATTTGTTCTAGGCTCTCTCTTCACCCTGCTGTTTGAGTTTGATGCAATCTCATTTGCTACTTTTACTTTTGCTGCTTGGGCTTCTGAAGTCTCATTGCCCCTAAAAAATCACTACCTAGACACTGTCACCAAGATTCGGCCTGTGTTTCCTTCCCAAAGTTTCGTATTTCAGTCTTACATGTAAATCTTAAATCCATTTTGAGTCTTTTACATAGGGTGAAAAATAATGATATAATCTCATTCTTCCACATAACTAGTTTCACTGATATCCTGTAATGGAAAGACTTCCTACTTCCCACTGCATTTACTGCTACTTTGCAATCAATTTCCAGCAAGTGTGTGAGTTTATTTCTGAGCTCTTCATTCCATGACTTTGATGTCTATTTTATGCCAGGAGCATTCTGTTTGGGGTGATAGAGGTGCAGTATATTTTGAAGTCAAGTGCTACAGTATCTCCAGCTTTGTTCTTTTTGCTCAAGGTTACTTTGGTTATCTAGGGTATAAAGTCACTCCATGTATACTTGAAGGCTTTTTTTTTTCTTTCTGTGAAGACTAAGAATGTCTACTGATAGGAATTGCAGGAATCTGTAAATCATTTTGGGTACTATGGACATTTTAACAGTATTGATTATAAAAATAACAGAAACACAAGATGTCTTTATTTTTATCAGTGTATTAAAAGTTCTCAATATAAAGATTATTTACCTCCCTGATTCATTTTATTCAATATATTTTCTTTTATTAATTTTTGACTTATTTTTATTTTATGTGTGAGTGTTATGCTGCATGATGTCAGTGCACCTGTGTTGTATAGTGTCCACCGAGGACAGAAGAGGGCGTCGGACATCTGGAACTGGAGTTCTGGACTACTGTTAGCTGCCACTGGGGTGCTAGGATTCAAACCCACATGATCTTCTGGAAGAACAGCCAGTGCTCTTAACTGCTGAGCCATCTCTCCAGCCCCTCAATTAATTTTCAGTAACTACTGCAAACTAGACTTTTCAGGTTTCTTTTTCGAATAGTTTACCATTAAGGTGTAGAAATGCTGCTGATGTTTGTACTTCGATTTTGTACCCTACATCTTTCCTTAATATGTTTGAATTTTAACAGATTTATGGTTGGAATCTGTACAGTTTTCTACATACAAGATTATGTCTAAAAACGAGCGACATTTAATTTATTTTCCAATATGCATGACATTTTTTTTGCCTTACCTAATTCCTGTAGCTAGGATTCCAGTCTTGTTGGTTACAAGTTATAAAAGTATCATTCTCATTTTATTCCAAGTCTTAAAGGAAACACTCTTTGCTTTTCCCTGTCCAGTGTGATGTCTACTGTCGGTTTGTCATAGTGGCTTTTATTATCTTGAAGTGTACTTGTTTTATACCTACTTTCTTGAGAAATTTTATTATGGGAGCATATTGCATTTCTTTAGTTTTTCTCAATCTACTGCAATTTAATTATCATGATAATTGATTTGCTTACTTTAAACCGTTCTGGCATCCCTGGGATAAAACCACACTAAATATGGTGAACAATCTTCTTAATGTGCTGCTGAATTCGGTTTTCTAGACTAGCCCATTTGCTACTATATAACAGTTGTTAGTTGCCATGTGGGTGCTGGGATTCAAACCTAGGCCTTTTGCAAAAACAACCAGAATTCTTAACCGCTGAGCCATCTTTCCAGCCTTAAAAAACCAAAACAACAACAACAACAAAAAAAACCCTAAAAAAAATAACAAAAGCACTAGCTAAAGCAAAGATATCATTAGTGATACACTGCTGTTTTCCCTTTAAAATGGGAATGAGAAGACCACTGGCCCAATGGAAGGTAGGAAGAACTCTTAAGAAAAAGGGCATTGGAATAATGTAAATTAAGCTGAATTTTGAAGAATACATAAAACAGAATTTCTGAAAGTTATTTATGCTACCGGAAAACATTTGTACAGGAATGTCATCACAGAACGACATTTAGAAACAAATTCTTTCTACAGAAGCCTAAGGTCACTGCAAGGAATAGATGTTTATGAAGTGAAGCTGAAAGGACTTCTTTCAGCACATCATCTTTTGTGACATAGCAAAACCAAATAATGATGTGGATAAAATAAGACTACCTACAGTTTTAAATATTTTTGGAAAAGATGAAGTTTGACAACTTATTTTGTACAATGTTCACAAGGACAGACTACTATATGTTTTATTGTTTCTTTTAAATGAGAAAGTTTGCTAAGGGGTTGTATACTTTATTAGAGTAGATCTCAATGGTTCTACTCCTTTAGAGTAATAACTAGTGCTTACTTGATTCAATTTGTATTTCACTCCCAGGTAGAATCTGAAAAAGGCAAACCTAAATAAAATTGGTGAAACCTAAAAAACAACAACTGGAATGCTTCTTTTTATAATCTTTGGTAGTTTTCTTTATAGTACAGCCAGAAAAAAGCTTACAGGTCAACAAAGTTTAAAAGACACTGGTAAAAACGAACAGGTAGCTGACAATACCATAATGATCAAGCTCATACTTACATCTTTCTGTGTTACTTCACCATGACTGTTCCCACAACTCCAGGTCAGCTTTCTAGAGCCCACTGGATCAGCCCATGTATAAAACACTGCTTTTCCAGGAGGAAGAGCATCTTCTATTTCACTAAGAGAACTGACATAAATAGTAAAAGTATGTATTGAATTAAATGCAGTTAAACAAATACATAAAACATTCCAAATAATATTTAATTCTTATTCCATTAACTGGTATTTGCGGAAATCTTAATTAGGACTAGAAAGGTTCCCCCCCCCTTATAGAATTCAAAAAGCTATTCTGGTTTCTCTTCAGATTAAACAATTTTTTTCACCTTTTATAATGAAAAAAGTCTTCTGTGAGGAAAAAAATTATAGCTCAATTACTTTAAAAAAATCACAATATATGACACACAAACCTAAAAATTCAATTGACAAAAAACAAATTCTCAGAAAGACAGAATATTATGAAGGTTATTAACCTATAAAGTGACAAAAATATAGCTTTTCTGAGCCAAAAGAGTTTACCCATGGTTTAAAGCACAATCCTATACATGTAGCTCTAATGGACAATATAAGAGCTTAGGTTTTAAAGGTAATATTGTATTAGGGATGTTTGCTGGATATGCAGACTTTAGATGCTCTTATGAAAACAGAAACAAAAAACAGCAACCATGCGTAGGGATGTAGTTCAGTGGTAGAGTCCCTGCCCACTATTGGGTTACAACCTCCAGCACCACATACTGTCAGTAACTATAAAGCAAGAGATATGTTAATGCACTTTACTAGAGAAACCATCTTACTGCCTATATACATTCCAAAGCTCCAAATATCATGCTGTAAATCTGTAACATATACAGGTCTGAGGATGTAGCTCAGTATTAGAGTGCTTGCTTACCATATGCAAAGTCCTGAATTACATCCTCAGCACCACAAAAAAGCCAACAGAAGTACTACACTAGGGCCTGAAGAGACAGCTCAGAGGTTAAGAGCATTTCTATTCAAAAAGACCTAAGCCCAGTTCTTAGCCTCTACTTAGGCTCATAATCACCTGTACCTCCAGCTCTAAGGGATCTGACACCCTCTTCTGGCCTGTAAGGGCACTGGCACACCAAGTATACACACACATACACATTTTAAAATATGCAACGCAAAAGATAAGGGTGTCCTTCAATGGTAGAGCAGAACCTGGGCTTAATCCCCACATCCAAAAACAACCAACAAAAACAAAAAAGTAAAACTTTTTAAAAAATGAGACTTTCAGACTTTTATATAATAAAAAAGCAAAAAAGATGTAATATCAACACAATTTTGAGAAGTTATCCATTAAACCTTCATGTAGTCATTAATTTGTATGAGTAAACATCTCAAAGAAGCAACAGCATAACACAGCCACAAAAAGGATGAGTTATTTTCCAAAAAATTATTAGGCAATCTATATAATACAATATTATGCAAAGGACTGGGGAGATAGCTCTATGAATAAAGTGCTTGCAGCACTAGTGTGAGGACCAGTGTTTGGATCCCCAGAGGCAGCCTCCTGCAATCCCAGTACTCAGTAGGCAGAGACAGGGGGTCGGGGGCAAGTTGGCTATCTAAACTATCTGGACTCCATAAGCTCTGGGGTCAGCTACAGACATGACCTCAATAAATAAAGTGAAGAGAGATTGAAGAAGACACTAAGCATAAACCTCCACACATGTACAACCATACTCATGGGAACATTTAAGTACACACACACACACACACACACACACACAAAGTACGGCAAGAAATAAAAAAATGAGTTATAATTATTAAGATGGGTTAAAGATCCCTATTAAAAAACAAGCAACCATGACGACATGGGTGCACTTACATGCATGCAGGCAATACATTAATACACACAATCATCATCATCATCATCATAAACCCAAAAACTGTTTCCAAAAAATCCCAAAATATAACATTGAAGACTTGGAAAATTAACAAAATTCTAAATATCCATTCACAAAAATTTGTTCTGAAACAAATTTACAAGCTTGCTATAGCTGTTAAGAACAGGAGAGAGGCTGGCCAGTAGAAACAGAAATAAGAGCGTGAAAACAAGTCACCAAAACATTGACAATGCTGAGGTCACAGAGTATGTTCCTTTGTACGTTTTACCCTATAGAATTTTAGAAATTAAAAATTACTGTGTTGTCTACAAGACATACTTATCTATTATATGACATGCTTATCCAACAAAATTCTTTATACATACAATACCATCTTGGTGTTTTTGAGATAGGGTCTCCCTGTAGGCCCAGCTAGCCTGGAACTCTTTATATAGACCAGGCTGGCCTTGAACTCACAGAGATTTGCCTGCCTCTGCTCCTGAGTGCTGAGATTAAAGGTGTGTGCCACCATGCCCAGTTTATACATAAAATACCATCTTATAACATATTTTTAAAAACTAATGGAAAGGTAGACAAAGGAAGGGAAATTCTTCCATATTCCACATTTGTCAAAGAAAAAAGGAATCAAATGTAAATAGGCTGATTATCAGATAAATTTTTTAAAACAAAAATGCTAATATTTGACTCACTGAAAATTATTTCTTATGCAAAAATTAAACCAAGTTTTATCTTTGATAGGTAATGTGAATTCAAAGAAAAGGAACACTTTACCCTAGTTCTCGGAATGTTAACTATATAAATGTACAGATCTTAAATTTGTAAGAAAATGCCAACTGCTGGAAGAGCAGCAAGTCCTGTTAACCACTGAGTCATCTCTTCAGTTCCAATTGCTAGAATCTTGGTATATAAAGGATCAAGTAGGCTTTATTCCAGAGATGCAGGGATGGTTCAATATATGTAAGTCAAGAAACGTCATAAATCATATACATGGGCTCAAAGACAAGAACCACATGGTCATCTCAATAGATGCACAGAAGGCATTTGACAAAATTCAACATGCATTTATGTTTAAAGTCCTAGAGGGAATTGGACTGGAGGGAACATACCTCAACATAATTAAAGCCATATACAACAAACCCACAGCCAACATCATTCTAAATGGAGAAAAACTGGAAGCATTCCCATTGAAATCAGGAACCAGACAAGGCTGTCCACTATCTCCACTTCTCTTTAACATAGGGCTTGAAACTCTTGCAAGAGCAATAAGACAAGAGCAGGAAATTAAAGGAGTAATAATTAGAAAAGAAGAGATCAAATTATCCTTTTTCACAGATGATATTATATCTAAGAGACGCCCAAAATTCCACCAGAAAACTCCTAGAAATTATTAACAATTATTAACACGTTCAGTAAAGTGACAGGTTACAAAATTAACCTACAAAAGTCTATAGCCTTTCTATATACCAATAACAAGCAATCAGAGACAGAGTACATGGAAACACTCCCCTTCACAACAGCTCCAAAAAAAAATATCTCAGAATATACCTGAACAAAGACATTTCTACAATGAAGTTTTTAAATCTTTAAAGAAAGAGAAGACAGCAGGAAATGGAAGGACCTCCCAAGCTCATGAATTGGAAGAATTAATATTGTGAAAATGACTGTCCTACCAAAAGCCATTTATAGATCAAATGCAATGCCAAACAAAATCCGCATGACATTCTTCACAGATTAGAAAAAAAATACTAAATTTCATATGGAAGCACAAAATACCCCAAATGGCCAAAGCAATCCTAAGCACAAAGAACAATGCTAGAGGAATTACCACACCAGATCTCACACCATATTACAGAGCTATAGTCCTAAAATCAACATGGTACTGCCATGAAAACAGAAGCACGAACCAGTGGAACAAAACTGAAGACCCAAATATGAGTACATGCAACTTCAGCCACCTGATATTTGAGAAAGGGGCCAAGAACATTCGCTGGAGGAAAGACAGCATGTTCAGCAAAAGGTGTTGGCAAAACTGGATCTCCACCTTAGAAGAATGAAACTAGACCCCTATCTTTCATCTTGCACAAAAGTCAATTCCAAATGGATCAAAGACCTCAATGTACAGCCTGAAACTGTTAGAAGAAAACATTGGCAAAAAGCTGTGTATAGCAGTTATAGTATGAAGGAAGAAGGGAGGGATCACAAAGAAGAGTAGCTTTTTTTTTTTTTAAGCAATAAGGTCCATCTACATAGGTAAACATCCAGGAAAGGACCTAGAATACTTAGAAAATAAAGATCTTAGCTTGTATTAAGAATAGAGTTAAGAGCTAGTAAACAAAGAGCAGTGCTTACAGAGGTAGCCTAAAACATCTTTAAAAAAAGAAACAGGGACTTGCCAACATGATAGTATTAAGAGTAGGTTCCCCTTCAGAAGAGCAAGGTGATGAGAGAAAAGTCCTTATGGTGGGAATAGTGGTATGATAAAAGAGATTTAAGGGAACTGCCCGCCCTTGGGCCATCTTTAGTCTGGGCAAGAAGTGCCTCTATGATGGGCAGCATGACTCTTTATCAGACAAGTTTTTCATACATGAGCTTAGATTTGCCTCCCTCAAAAATTATGAAAAATAAATTTGGGTTGTTATGAATTACTCAGACTAAGGCATTGTTTTTGTATAGTAGTCTAAACACATGAAGACATAATTTATCCTCTGGTAATATGGATGATAATAAAAAAAAACAGGTTTGCCCTCTTTTTCAATTATAAACATTTAGCATGATGTGTAAGGAGTTATAGGTACTTGTTATCTGGCTCTGGAATCCCTAGTTTAATCAACAACTGAAATTATAGATTTGGCAGTGAAAGGAAGGTAGTTTGTATAAACACTGATAAATATGGGTCTACTGAAAATAAGTGAAAGAAAATCAAAACCAAAGCAAAATAAATTGAAAACAGACTGGGATCACCCAGTAGAGGAACATGAAGTCCCAGAAACTGTAGTAGCACTAAAAGATACAGTATTACAGCAAACTGAAGTACATTATGTTAACAGTCATACGAAACATCAAGGTTCAACTATAATATTAAGGAAGCACGACAATCATCCTGCAACCTGGACCCCACATTAGTGCAAACCTCAACTCTTAACAGAGAAGCTTATTTTGGCAGTGGTTGGTGATTAACAGAGAGTCCCTCAACTGGTCAGTGTGCAGAGAATAAACTGTGGAATGCTCAGCCTTATATACAACATCTATTATCACAACCCCTCCCCACAAGGCTCAGGAAATCACAGATGTAGAAGGGGCAGAAAGATGATAAGAGTCAGAGGCAATGGATGACTACAATGAAAAAGAGTGTTTTCTAGACGTATCAGGGCAGTTACACATATAAACGCACATTAACTGTGACGGCATGCACAAAACCTGCACAAGCTCAAGTCAGACAAAATCCCAGCATGGACGGGGGAGATGGGCATGAAGTCCCAGTCCTAGCTGAAATGCTATTAACAACTGATAGCTACTGGGAGAGGGAAAGTCAGATTTCTTTAAAGGTGTGACCACATTCCAAAGGATGGACCCATATCAAAAAGTATTTAGGCAACCCAAATTAGACTTGATGGGCTTTAAGAAAGTGGACACAAAGTTGGGTGAGTAAGGGAGATAGGGGTGGAAATGGGAAGAGATAGGGGAGGTAAAAATGATCAAAATATATTGTATTAAAGTCTCAAAGAATTAATAAAAATATTATTTAAAAGGGACATTGTAAGAAAGTATCCATTATTGGGCAAAAATAAAAAATTTTGATACGAAACATTAAAAAAATATTTTATTTATTATTTTTTGTGTATGCATGTATTGCCTGCATGTAGGTAAGTGCACCCATGTTGTGCAATGCCCGGGAAGGTCAGAAGAGGTGTTGGATCCCCTGGAACTGGATGGACAGGTGTTAGCTGCCATGTGGGTGCTGGGATTTGAACCCGGGTATTCTGCAAGAATAGTCAGTGTTCTTAAATGCTGAGCCATCTCTCCAGCCCACATCACATTTTTTAAAAATACAAAAAAAAATTTCAGGGATGAAGAAATGGCTTAGTCAGTAAAATTCTTGCCATACAAGCGTGAGGTCTTGAGTTTGGTTCTCTAGCACTCATGTAAAAAGCTGGGTGTTGGGGCATGCGCCTGTAATCCTAGCATTGAGGAGGCAGAGACAGAATCCTTGGAGCTCACTGGTCAGCTAGTCTTGTTGAACGGAGGCGCTCCAGGTTTAATAAGAGACCCTGTCTCAAAAAACAAAACAAAACAAAACAAAAAGATGGAAAGCCATAGAGGAAGACACCTAACATTGGTCTCTGGCCTCCATGAAAATATAGTGGGGCATGATGGCACACACCTTTAAACACCAGCACTTGGAGGAGGCAGAGCCAGGCGAATATTTGTGAGACCAAGGCCAGCCTGATCTACACAGCAAGTTCCAGCTCAGCTGGGGCTACAGGGAGATCCTGTCTCAAAAAATTAAAAATAAAAAAGAAAATATGGGCCTGGTTTTGGCTCAGTGGCTGAAAGCACTGACTGCTCTTGCAGAGGACCTGGGTTTGGGTCCCAGCACGCACTGGGAGCTAACAACTATCTGTAACTTCAGTTCCAGAGAATCCAACACCCTCTTCTGACCTCTTGTGGGCATTGCATAATATGGGTGCATTTACATACATGCAGGCAGTATACTCATATATATAAAATAAAAATAATAAAAATTTTTTAAAAAAGAAATTACACATGTACACATAAACACGGATACACATAAAAATATGTGAAAAATTTAGCTGAGTGTGATGGCTCACACATGTAACCCAAGCACTTGGGAGGCTGACTCAGGTGGATTATCCTGAGCTTGAGGACAGCCTGGACTATATAGTGAGTTCCAAGTCAGCCTAGGCTACACAGAGTAAGACTCTGTCTCAAGCCCCTACCAAAACAAACAAACAAAAAAGTTAAAAAGAAAAAATATTTCAAAAATAGGCAAAATTTGGAGACTCGTGACTAACTCTAATACATTCCTCAGATTCAGCAATGATCAACTTGTGACACCTGCTTTAGCTCTTTCATGTTGTTCTTTGACTCATTTCAGTAAACTATAAATGTCAAATTAGTTTTGCTTCCACATACTTGAATAGACTTTTTAAAAAAGGGAGCAATTTTAACATAATCATCAAGCCGTTATTGGTGATTTCCTGAGGAATCATTAGAAAAGCAGTTATGAGGTCTCATTACCAAATCCGCTAAAATCATACATATTTGCGACAATCTTCTTACCTTTGTTTGTACTCAACAGTGTTACTCCTGGTATGATTTATTAATAAGAACGGGGCTGCTCCATCGTGGTAATCTGAAAATGTAACAACTGTAGAATGCTCAGCCAAATTAACCTCTGCTATGATGCCACCAAGCTTGAAGGGAAAAAAGTTAAAACAATTATTCCCCAAAGAATATTAACTAATAATATTTAACAATAAAATTATTCATAACTTCATGATTCAATTTTATGGAAGGAATTAAAAGACAATCTAGATTTTTGAATTGCATTTCTGGTAAACCATGAATCTCTATTATATACAAATGAAATTCTAGACATGTATATTCTAGTATTTATTGTAGACATGCCCACTAACTTTATAAATTACTTCATATTTGCTTCACTTTTACTTTCACAGAAGTGATGATTATTAGTTTTTGGTAAAGGGGGAAAATCACTGGGACATTACGTGTTACAAAAAGGAAAATGTACTCCTAGTACATGTATATTGGCTTTTCTAATTATACTTGCAAGACAATGAACATGAAAGAAAAAGCATTTACCTCATTATTCAGTCGTAACAAGATACAATTATCTTGCTTGTTAAAATAAATCCTTTTTGGAGGACCTTCACTCCTTTCAACTTGAATAAGAAGTTTACTGGAAGCATCCTCAGGCCAGAAGGGGATACACTAAAACATATATTTCACATATTTATAATAAAATAGATTTTTGTCATGCATACTTATGCCATTTTAATAAACTTGTAGAGTAGTAAACTTTAAAATATTTTAGCACTGTTAACATTGTGTTTAGCTAAACTGCTGTAAACTGTCAACCTGGCAGTGGACTGTTCTTTGCAGACACTATGAATTAACAGAAATGGGTAATAAGGTCAAAATAAATAAGAGGTGTACTCAGAAGGAAAGAGACTTTCATAGTCCATATCTTACAGAGAAGGTTAGTCATCAAGCTGAGCCAAGAACTAGGGAAGCAGATCAGCTTAAAGCAAGGGTATACTGAGTTGCTAAAAATCAACCCAGTTGTGTGTCTATCATTTGATAATGAAGTCAAGTCAAAATATACATGTATTAAATCTCGGTCATCAAAAAAGGAAAAAGAAAGTTTTAAAAGTTGCTAAAGTTCAGGGGGCTGGAGAGATGACTCAGCGGTTAAGAACACTGACTATTCTTGCAGAAGGCCTGGGTTCAAATCCCAACACCCACATGGCAGGGAAGGAGCTTCAGAGAAAGAGGAAGGAAGCCTAAAGTGTTAGGGAAAGCATGCTTAGAAAAGAGATTGTAAAGGGGCTGGAGAGGTGGTTCAGTGGTTAAGAACACTGACTGTTCTTGCAGAAGACTTGGGTTCAAATCCCAGCACCCACATGGTAGCTAACAATAACTCCAGTTCCAGGGGATCCGACAGCCTCTTCTGTCTTCTGAGGGCATTGCACGACACAGGTGCACTTACCTACATGTAGGCATAACACTTTTTTTTTTTTTTTTTTTGGTCTTTTTGAGATAGGATCTCCCAATAGCCCCAGCTGTCTTGGTGCTCACTATGCAGACCAGGCTGGCCTTGATCTCACAGAGATCCACCTGCCTCTGCCTCCAGAGTGCTGGAGGCCAAAGGTATACACTACCATGTCCTACATAGAAGCTTAGAATTTTTAAGAATAACTTGGCCAACAGTGATCTAGAAGTCAAACCAAAGGAATGAAAACTGGTCAAAGCAACAGAAAAAAGCTAGAACAGTAAGAACAGTAAGAGTTAGAAATAAACAAAAGAGGTAAAAAAATAAAAAAAAAACCCCAAAAAACAAACAACCCCCCCCCCCGCCCCAAAAATATGGGGAACGACCCTTGCCTGTATTAACTCAACTCCATCTTAGGCTCTGACACATTTTTTTCGCCAAGTCTCTTCATGTATGATAGCTGACCATTACTATATACAATCTAGGGAAATTTTTATAGCAGCATCTGACTGCCAGAGCTATGTGTCTTAGCTTATTCAAGTTATTTAATCACAAAGGATTTTAAAAAGATTAATGGTTAGGCCAAGCATGGTGGCACACATCTTTAATCTCAGCAGTCTGGAGGCAGAAGTGGGTGGATCTCTGAAGTCTGAGGCCAGCCAGGACTACATAGTGAAACTCTACCCCCAACACACAAACAACCCCCCCCATAAAAAACAAACAACAACAACAATAAACCCAAACAAACGAACAGGCTGGAGAAATGGCTCAATGGTTAAGAACACTGGCTGTTCTTGCATAAGACTGAATCCCTGCACCCATATGGTGGCTAACAACCATCCATAACTTAAGTACCAGTAGATACAATACCCTCTTCTGGTGCCAGAGAGATGGCTCAGTGGTTAAGAGCAAGGACTGCTCTTGCAGAGGACCCAGGTTCGATTCCCAGCACCCACATGGTGGCTATGAACCGTCCTTAACTCCAGTTCCACGGGAATCCAAAGCCCTCTTCTGACCTCCGTGGCATTGCACAACACAGGTGCACTCACACACATGCAGGCAATACACTCATACACATAAAATTAAATAAATAAATAAATAAATAAATAAAAATATGAAAAAAAATACCCTCTTCTGTTCTCCATGAGCACTGCATGACATGGGTGCACTTACACACATGCAGGCATAACAGTCATACACACACCGCCCCCACAGGGCTGGACAGATGGCTCATTGGTTAACAACACTGGGTGCTCCTGCAGAAGACCCAGGTTCAAATCCTAACCACCACCCACATGGCAACCAGTAACTGTGCACAACACGAGTTCTAGGGGCTCCGACGCCCTCTTCTGTCCTCGTAGGAATTGCAAGACACATACATGCAGGTGTAACACTCTATACATATAAAATAAAATAAAATAAAACTCAATCAAAATTTTTTCAAAAAACAAAGGAAAGCTAGAGTTGCATCTTTTAGATATATCTAGATTTCTATGTCCAACAAACTAAGTGTGGTGGGTGCTAAAAGGTGGTGGTGTCTGTTCAAGAAAAATTAACTCTTGAGTTGTTTAAAACAAGAATGAGCCCAATCTGTTCTCAAACCGTATCCCTTCTCATTTTTCTCTGAACTGTTCCTGCAACAAAGGGTGTACTCTCTTTATTTATATAAACAGTACATCCAGCATGATATGGGAAAAGAAAGAACTTTGTCTTATCCTTTTCTGAATCATACTGGCAGAGAAGAGCATACAAAACCACAAACAGGTATTATCAACCTGAGTTCACACGTTGTTTGTGATATGGGTACTCATTGTTTTCAATGTTGCTGCTTTCAGTAATGGTATCTTCACAATATACACACATAGATTATTCTGAATCAGATGTAAGGAAAGGTTCTAAGTGGGAAATAGGAAACACAGTTTAAAGTTAAACAGCTTAGCTTGTAAAAGCTGTTTACAAGAGGAAGTCAAGTTCTGTTAAGATTGTTCACACTGTTTTCCTAAATTTCCTAGTTAAATTTAAGTAAGCTTAGCACAGCAGGAACGCAGACTGAATAGAGGGCATTAAACGATTTCAAAACATAAGATAAACTTTGGTTACAGGATTAGGTAAAACAGATAGTATTTCCAGAAAAGTCATTCCACAACTAAGTACATACAAACTGTGTTAATTCAACAAACACTGAGAATCTACTATGCTTAATCACTGATCTAAACCTTCTAACAGCTCCCCATTTCACTTAAAAGTAAAATGCTTACAATGGTTTATATAAGTCTACATAATTACCCTCTCCCACCATGGCTTTCTTATATTTTCCCACTCTAATAATATTGGTATTTTTTTTTCTTACTATCTCTCGAACATATCAAATGTCCGCTTCCTTTAGAATTCCAATTCTGGTTTATCCTAGGTCTCTCCTGCTCTCTCCCTAGATATCCAACCTGCTGAGAAGTCTATCTTGTGATCAAAAAACTTAGTTGCTTTTCAAGCAAGACCTTATGCAATATAAAGCCTTTATACCCAGTAGACCTCAGAATGAAGCAGAATCAATATTTAATGAAACATTTGATTTAGTTCAATTTTTACAGAAAGCAGCAAACATATTAATCCGCAGATGTGTAAGTATTAGAAGCAAGGCACAGTGGTGTGACAGGAGAACAGAGACAGAGCAAAAACAGAATGACAAGGGTATCAGAGAAGAAACACCTCCTCCAAGGAAATGACCGAAGCATAGCACAGTTTTTAACAAACAATGGAAGCAAAGACAGTGGGGGTAAATCTCTAACATACTGGGAAAAAAAAATCAACGTAAAATTGGCCTAAAAATTAGCATAAAATATAATGATTAAAAACTTCTCTGCAACACCCTAGACCAACATAATTTCTTACTTTATTCTCAATATGCATCTTCATATTTATAGATAAGTGTACCTTTCACCCCGCATCAAGGAAGCTTCTTTTTGAAATAGAGGGAGCTTATTAGAGAGTTCCAGAATTGTTCAAATGTAGAGAATAATAAGTGTCTGTGAGATGCTTAACCCTAAGTGACACATCTTCACTGCAACTTCTACACTTAGGATGAGTGCATCTTTCCACTCTCACCAGAGAACAGTTTCCTTATGTAACAGATGGTGATTAACACAGGAACCCACAACCAGCCAATGAGGCTGCAGGGTGCTCATCCTTAAATAGGACATCTATTTCAGGGAGATCCTGTCTCAAAACAAAGCAAAGCAAAGCAAACGCAAAAGCAGAACAAAACAAAACAAAACCAAAAAACTTCTATGGACAAACTAATACCATTTACTTAAAAACCAGTCTTAAAGGAAATTCTAAAGCTTCAAGAAGGATGGTTTTATGTACAAGAAGTAATCATGAACAGAAATAGTATTTCTCTCATAGTCTTACCATGTAGAATAAGAATTCTTCAAAACTGGAAAATTTATCAACCTGTCTGTCATTTAGAACACCTATCCAGATGTCTGATTGCTAATGATGACAAAGAATCAAAATTTCATTCTTAAATGACTTCTACCTTATCCTAAGAAAGCAAAGTTTGGCTTAACTAAGCACATAAAGGCATATAATAGCTTCCTGGAAAACTAAGCAATTTCCTATTCTTTGATACTTTTTTAACTTCTAAAATAATGGGGTTCACTATGACATTTTCATACCTGTACATTGTACATACATCATGTATATTGATCACAGAAATACAAAATACATTTTTGAAATTCATTTACATACCTCCTCTAGGTCAAGAGAGAGCCATTTATCATTTCCTTCTTCTGCCACTGATATATGGTATTTGCTTTTGTTTTTAATTATATAAAAAGGGGTAAATGTCACAATTCTAGTAATATTAAAACTGCTGAGGTTTATAGTGACACCAACCTAAGAAAAAAATGACAACTATTTGAAAACTATTATCATAATATGCTTTAAAAATTTAAGTATTCAACAGACACATCTTAAAAGTTTCTTGAACATAAACTCACTTGATATTCCATTTTTAGGCCTTTGCATTTAATAGCTCCATGACTACCAACAGTATCAATTGAAAACTGATCAGATAACTCACTATCAGTTACCATAAGCTGAACCTAAGGGAAAAAAAAATGAAATGTTACAATTCAGGTACCAGATATGTGTGCGTAGTGCTAAAGGCTTTGCACATGTGCTTTTCCATTGAGCTATGTTCCAAGCCATGAGCTTTCTTAATATTAAATTCTTAATGTACTGTTTTTGTCCTGATTTTTTTTTTTTTTTTGAGACAAGGATTCTTGTTTAGCTCACGTTAGACAGAACTCATGTAGCATATACAGGCTTCAAATTGAACTCTTCCTGCCTCCTGAAGGCCTGGATTACAGGCATGTGACACCATACCAAAGCACACTAATCTTTTTAGCCTCAAATATTTAACAAATATTATTTCACCTAAACTTTTTAACATTTTACTGTTTAGATCCCTGAAAACTGAAAGAGAATGATAATGACCAAAGAAGGGAAAAGTTAAAAAAAATTAGATACCTTATTATTATTAAAAAAGTGATTTGGCTGAAAAGAAAAGAGAACTGGCTTTTTATAATTAGGTGGATGCTTTCGATGAATTCCATCTGCTTTGTACTGTAGCATTCGCCCAGTTTTATTGACCATCCAATATGGACTATGAAATGCCACAATAGTCTGACCGGTATTGTAAGTCATATGAATAGCAATATCTAAATCAGTCTTTTCCATCTCTGTAATACAGGTAAAGCTGATGAAATTAATGTCTTGTTGATTAGATTTTATATGATATTCACTTTTCCAATCATGATTAAGATAGTCAAGCAATTTTAAATGTAGCTTGGCGTTATCCATCTGCACATTACAAATCTGGGATGAATGTCCTTCATTTAGAGTAAACACTGTATTTTCAATGCCCTGTAATAAAATAAAACACAAATAACAAACAAATGAAAAACTTTAACATGACTCTGAAAAAGGCACCGCTAAGCTGTATTTAATCACTCCAAATACTATACAAAATATTTTTTAATATTTATTTTTATTTTATGTGTATGAGTGCATTGCCTGCATGCGTATATGTGCACCCATATTGTACAATGCCTGAAGAGGTCAGAAGAGGGCTTCAGATCCTCTGGAGTTATAGACAGTTGTTAGCCACCATGTGGGTGCTGGAACTTGAACCTGGGGTCCTCTGCAAGAGCATCCAGTGTGCTTAACTACTGAGCCCCATAAAATAGTTTTCAAATACCTGCTAGAGCAAAATATGAGACTTATTCAAGCTGTAACTCTGCTACCAGGGTTTGATTTAGATTTGAATATTTGAAATTGTAAAATGTTCTAAATAACCTACTTCAAAGGACTATTGTGAAGATTAATATAATGTGAAACCTCACAAAATTTATAAACATCACGCCATTATTAGTAAAACTAAAGTAGCTTTATCTTCTCTACTACTTGTAGTTTTGGAAACTACAAAATAAAAATGTGGAAAAAATGCTGATAATCCAAAAAAAAGAGAAAACCATACTGTCTGCCACTTTTAATTCTTTTTTTTTAAAAAAATATTTTTTTATTTTTATTTTATGCGTATGAGTGTATTGCCTGCGTATATGAGAGTGCACCCGTGTCGTGCAATGCCGCGGAGGTCAGAAGAGGGCTTTGGGTTCCCCTGGAACTGGAGTTAAGGATGGTTTGTAGTTGCCATATGGGTGCTGGGAATCGAACCCGGGTCCTCTGCAAGAGCAGTCAGTGCTTTTAACTGCTGTGTCATCTCCCCAGCCCCCACTTTTTATTCTTTAACAGTCCCTTCACCCATTTCTAGTTGTTATTATTTACTGTATCTCCCCAAGTCATTAATTTCTCTCCACTCACATTTCCACTGCCTCAGCTCTTAACTCCACGACCGCTCAGCTGCACAGTCAAAGCCACATTATCCCATATAGTTCATTCTCCATATCATGGCTAAAACATCTAAATCCTGATCATGTCCTTTGAAAACTGGCAGACAGAATGAAATCCCTTAAGTTTAAAATTAAAAGTGCTATGAGAATACATAAACAGTGCATCTGTATATTCTCACTAGTTTTCTACTACCTTTTCCTATTGTTATAGGAATTTCTTCACTAAAGTTTTAAGCTAGTTAAAAGAACAATGTCAGCTGGGTCCGGTGGTGCTCACCTATAGTCCCAGCACTTGGGAGGCAGAGGCAGACGATCTCTGTGAGTTCAAGGCCAGCCTGGTCTACATAGTGAGTTCCAGGACAGCTGGGGCTACAGGGAGATTCTGCTTCAAAAAGACAGAAAAAAAAAAATAAATAATGTCAACTGCTGATTCTACAAACAATGAAGGCAGTGTTGGCTAGAATGGCTAATAAATGGCAACCATGTACCTCATCAGGCGTGCTACTAAACCTTTTAAATACTTCATTAATTTGATTTTCCCCATAAACTAATCATGAAAGTTTTATTACTAATTACATTTAATAAAAAAGGAAAAATACTTTTTTTTTTTTTTAAAAAAAAAGCACAGTCTGCTTAAAAGCGTAGTTAATAAGTGGCAGAACTAGGATACAATCTCGTCTTGACAGCCAAGTAGAAACTATTGATCATTGTGATAAACTGTCACCCACTTGTAAAAACATAATTTCTTACACCACAGATATGTTAACTTCTCCTACACAAAAAAATAGACCACAAAAGTATAAATACATAGTAATTCACAAAGTTAAATAAATCTACAATTAATAGACTAGACTGAAACCTAACTTATTATACTTGATAAGCACAGAAAATAAGAATATTTACAAAAATCTTAAGATAGAGGCTGGAGAGATAGCTAAGTGGTTAAGAGCACTGATTACTCTTGCAGAAGACCCAGCTTCGAATTTCAGCACCCACATGGTGGCTAACAATTGTCCGTAACTTCAGTTCCACAGGATCCGACACCCTCATCTGTCCTCTTCAGGCACTGCATGACATGGGTGCACTTACATACATATAGGCAATACACTCATACACATAAAATAAAAATCTTAAGATAGAAAAGAGGAAGTCATAATTAATCTGAAACAAAGAGTACTTAATAGAGAAAGCATGTTTATAGGGAACACATCCTTTTAGAGAAATATCTCTAAAATAATATGTAAACAAGTGAACTTTATTTGTGTATGTGTAGTACTTGAATGTTAATTCAATACCAATGCCCAAACTTGTTTTCAAAATTAAGTATTTTAAACATATATGAACTACACATGAATCAGAAAGGACTGAAAAATATCTTGTAAAATAAATGCTATCTTCAGATAATAGATTATATCTACTTAATACAATTTTATGTACAATATGTACTTTTGGAAATTATTTTTTTAGATGGCATAGGATGTCTGTACATAATTACATACAAGACAGCAGATAGTCTAAAGTAGATTAATGAAAAGTATTTTCTTTTAAATTATCTTTTCTTATATTTATCCATTTATCTATCTAATCTATTTATTTAGAGTGTGTGTGTGTTTGCACATACATACTACAATGTGCTTTAGAGGTCAGAGAACAACTTTTGCCAATCAGTTCTCTCCTCTACCATGTGAGTTAATGGGGATTCAGCTCAGGTAGTCAAGCTTTGTGGCGAGTGCCTTTACCCACTGAGCCATCTCACTGGCCCTAAATTACCTTTTCAAATATGATTTAAAAATTTCCATTTGAAAAATACCTATATTATTATTGAGCAGGGCTATATACAAAGGCAAAGACAAGAAAACATGCAAAAAAAAAATCCCAAATACCTCTATATAATAAGCAATTTTGTAAGGAAGAAGATTTCGAATTAGGATAGGCGGCCACAAGTGCATCATGTATGGTAGGTCCCAACCATCTTCTGAATACACTGACACAGAAGTTAAATTATCTTTTTCTGGGACAATATTAATAATAAATGATTTCTTAGAAAGGTTTATAGATCTACATTTCTTCTTCAGAAGCATTCCATCATTTTTTACAATTTCTTCAAAGTCAATTCCTTCAGACATTTGATAGTCCTCATCTTCTGGTTTCAAAAAAAGAAATGATCTACAAAAAAATTAAACAATACAGTCTGAAAGCTTAATAACAATGAAATTATCTCCTTCTATAATGCTACAAAAAGTTTTACATTTTTCACATACATTTTAGAGCTGGGTGAGATAAACAGGTATCTCAATTTTCTAGAAGTTCACCAAGTTATTTAGATTTTAAGAGATTATTTTTATTACAAACTTATTTTAAAAGTACATTTAAAAGAACTATCTTAATGGAAAATATAAAACACATCAATCACATATGCAAAGTAAACCATACTCAACCATCTGCTATATAGTCTATTAAAACAAGTTGGCTTTCCTGGATATGTGTTTTATGTGTTTTGTTTTGTTTTTTTCTTTTAAATTTTGTAGACAATGTCTTCTTATGGAGCACTGGCTGGCCAGGAACGCACTGTGCAGACTAGGCTGGCCTTGAACTTAGAGATCTGCCAGCGTTTGTCTCCCAGGTGCTAGAATTAAACTCATGTACTTCCATGCCTGACCTTTGACTATGTGGTCTTAATAAGAAGTAAATGTCATAACTAAGATCATGAAATTAAAACATACATATTTCTACTGGAAAAATAATCACCAGCTTTTCAAAGTTAGCAAAAAGTTTTCATAGGATATTTAAAGTGAAATGTGGGGCACAGAGGCAGAGAAGGGGGTAAAAGAAACTGCAATAAAAATCTGTGGTTATCATACTTTTTTCATTACATTTGAATATCACATTCTTTGTTTACATTCCAATAATATTTTTGAGTAATAACTCTGTGTGTGTGTGTATGTGTGTGTGTGTGTGTGTGTGTGTGTGTGTGTGTGTTCCAGAGGGTATCATCAAATCAGGCATCTTCCTTTATTGCTTTCCATCTTGTTTATTCAGACAGGGCAGATCACTGCACCTGGAGCTCCGATTTGGCTAGAATGGCTACGCCACAAATCCAAGGGCAATCTCTCTCTGCCTCCACACTGCTAAGATTACAGGTGTGCCACCAAATGCAGCATTTACATGAGTTCTAGGAACTCATGTCCTTAGCACTTTACCACAACTGAGCTATCTCACCAGCCCTAAATGTAATAATTTATTTATTTTTATTTTACATGTATGAATGTGATATCTGCATGTGTATAAGTGTATCAGTGTTGTGCAGTGCCTGTGGAGGAGAAAAGAGAGCATCAGATCCCCTGAAACTGGACTTACAGATGGTGGTTAGCCACCATGTTGGTGCTGGGATTCAAACCCAGGTCTTCCGTAAGAACGGTGAGTGCTTTAAACATTGAATCATCTTACCCGCCCTGTGAAATAATTTTTAAACATAAGCTACACCTAAGAATCATCACTTAAAAAACATCCTTATATATATGTATTTTAAAATATTTTATTTATTATTATTTTTATGTGTATAAGTGTACTGCATGCATGTAGTATGTGAGTGCACCTGTGTCATGCAATGCCAGTGAGGACAGAAGAGGGCTTCGGATTTCCCTGGAACTGGAGTTACGAACAGTTCATAGCTGTCACGTGGGTGCCGGGAATCAAACAGGGGTCCTCCACAAGAGCAATCTTAAATGCTGAGCCATCTCTCCAGTCCCATATGTATGTATTTTTACTTTTTATTTTATTTTTATGTTTATGTATGAATGTTATGCCTGCATGTATATAAGTACCCCTGGTCATTTAACTCCCACAGAGGAAAAAAGAGGATGTTGGATGTTATGGAACTGGAGTTACAGATGGTTGTTAACAGTGATGTGGGTGTTGGGATCCAAACCCGAGTCTTCTGCAAGAACACCCAGTAACTGCTGAGTCAACTCTCTAGCCTCATGAACGTATCTTTTAATTAGCTAACTAACTAATCATTCTGTCACAGTGTTGAGGATTGACTCCAAGTCTGCATAGTTCTCATGCAAGTACTACTGTACTACCAAACTATGCTGAAGCCACTAGACGTATTTTTTATTCATAAAATTAATGAATTTAGCTATCCCTTAAAAATGAACTGTCAAAATAATCTGTATCCTTGTTTTCTAATCTCTACCTCTAAAAGTTTAAGTATCTCCTGTATGTTTCTATAATTCTATGTGATGCTACCATACACTGGCTGAATTGGACACAGAGTCCTCCACACCTACTTCTCTACTGTCCTTTTTCCTGGCTTTCAGCTGCTAGCACTCTGGTTTTCAAAATAATAGTAAAGTAGTCTCTGACCAACAAAGAAAACTATTTGTCAAATCAGTCTCATATTTAGCCTATTCTATATTTTTGTATAATTTTTATTCTACTTTATTTTATGACTTCTAATAGACATACAAACATTAATTTTCCTCAAATTAAACTAAGGCCAACAAACCCATCCCATTTTAAAAAAACACTACTACTGATCAGTGTAGCAGCTCTGATCTCAGCAGACTGCCACAGAGTGCTGAGTTCGGGCCTCCCTCTGGCAGAGGGCCTGAGAACGCAGGGTACTGCCTGAGAGTGCCCAGAACCTGCCTCCACATGGTGAAGGAAGCCTGAGTGTACCTGACTGGAACCTGAATTGGGCTTCTGTGGGTACTCCTGAACAGCTGGTCTGAAGACATCAGTTCCCTATATATTAAACCTGAGAGAACCTGAACCCTGTAACAACCAGATTTATGTAACCAATAAAGAAAGCATCTAGGCACCCAGACAATACAAACAGAAGCATAGTTCAACTTAAATCTCATATCAGAATCATAAACAAAAGAAATTCACATGCCAAAATTACAACGAAAGAATAAAAAAATGAAAAGCCAAAACATTTATGTCCCCACCAAACTCCACCAATCCTGCAGAAGAATTCTACAAGGAGAACCCCCTAGAGATAACCCAGGACACTGAATTTGAAAGAACAATCATAAACACAATCAGGGGATTCAACGAATTTAAAGAACACAAGTACAAAAAAATCAAAGAACTAAAAGAAGATAGGGATAAACTTATGAATGAATTAACAAAAGACACAGAAACATTGAAAAAACTCAGAAATGAAGAAGTGCAAAACTCAGTAAGCCAACTTGAAACAACAGGGGAAAGCCTCACCACTAGAATGAATGAAATAGAAAACAGAATTATCAAAACTGGAGGATAAAGTTGAAGAATTGGGCCACTCAAGCAAAGATTATGGAAAAATTTTAAAAACACAGGAATGGAATATGCAAGAGATGTGAGACACCATGAAAAGACAAAAATGTACAGATCATATGAATAGAGGAAGGAGAAGAATTTCAGGTTAATGGTGTTGACCAGATCTTAAACAGGATTGCAGAAGAGAATTTCCTGAAATTAAGGAAAGACATCCCCATACAAATACAGAAAGTACATAGAACACTAAATAGGATCAGAAAAGAAACTCCCCATGACATATCATAGCAAAAAGAGTAAATGTACAGAACAAAGAGAGAATACTGAAAGCAGCCAAAGAAAACAAGTCACACACAAAGGAAAGCCCATCAGAATTACAGCTAACTTATCAATGTGAACTATGAAAGCCAGAAGAGCTGGACCAAGGTATTTCCACTTCTACATGACAATAGAAGCCAGCCCAGAATACTTTACCCAGCAAAAATGTCTATTATAGTTAAGGGGGAATAAAAAATCTTCTATGACACAAACAGCCTGAAAGAACACATGTCCACAAAAGCAGGCCTTCAAAGAACACTTGGAGCAATACAAAGAGCAGAGAAACAACTATACCCTGGGGCAACAAAAGAAAATAAATAAAAGGTATTAATTGAGGAAACACAAAACTAGAGAACACACACAGCAATCAAAATGATGACAACCAATACACAACTTTCAATAATGACCTTAAATATCAATGGACTGAAATCCTCACTCAAATGACACAGGCAAAATGAATGGATTAAGAAACAAAAATCCATGTCTTTGCTGGCTACAAGAAACCCATCTCACCTTCAAGGACAGGCACTGCCTTAAGATAAAAGGATGGAAAAGAATATTCCAAGCCTAAAAACAACACTACAGGACGTTAGGACACAGATTAACCCCAATTCAGTAATAGCAGGGGACTTCAATACCCCACTGTCTCCAATACACAGGTCAACTGGACAAAGAATAAACAGAGAGACGTCTGAATCAAATTATACCATATATCAAATGGACCTAACAGACATCTTTTGATTATTCCACCTAAGCACCAGAGAATATACTTTCTACTCAGCACTCCATGGAACTTTTGTAAAAAACTGACCACATACTGAGCCACAAAACAAACCTCAACAATGAGTGGGTCAAAAGAAATAAAAGAATTTCTGGAATTCAATGAAAAGGACAATACAACATAACACAGCCTCTGGGACACATTAAAAGCAGTCCTAAGAGGGAAATTTATAGCTCTAAGTGCCTACATTAAAAAATGAGAATGAGCCCAAATAAATGACCTAACACTGCAACTCAAGAGACTGGAAAGGAAAGAAAAAAATGAAACCCAAACCCAGCAGAAGAGAAGAAATAACAAAAATCAGAGCAGAAATTAATGAAATCGAAACAAAGAAAACAATACAAAGAATCAGTGAATCTAAGAGCTGGTTCTCTGAAAAGATAAACAAGATAGACAAACCCTTGGCCCAGTTACCCAAAAGAAAGAAAGAGCAAATCCAAATCAACAAAATCAGAGATGAAAGGGAAACATCACAACAGACACCAAAGAGATCCAGACTATTTTAAGGGAATATTTTAAAAATCCATACGCTACTGAATTTGAAAATCTAAAAAAATTGTATGGATATCTGAAATCATGGGAACCACCAAAGTTAAACCAGAAAGAGATCAACCGTTTAAACAGACCCATAACATATAAGGAAACTGAAACAGTAATACAAAGCCTTCCAACTACAAAAAGCCCAGGCCCAGATGGATTTACAGTAGAAGTCTACCACACATTTAAAGAAAACCTCCAACCAATACTACTTGAATTATTCAAAATGACAGAAACAGAGGGAGAACCCCCAAATTCCTTTTATGAA